GAAATAATCGATCTCAAACATGCAGTGTCCCATAAAATATCTGTTCTTACTTCTCGACTGACGTAAGTACGCGACTGATTCCAACGTAGGAGGAACGCAAGTCTTATTATAAATGACAACTGCTAACGTCTGCGCATGCCTTATTAGTAGATATTAAAAATGTTAAAGATTAAGTCAACGAGTTTGTAATAGATTCAGCAGTTCTCAGAGTAATAGACGTTACTTTTTACAAAAATAAAAAATGTTATATCGTTTTTTTTTATAAATCTGACTCATTCTTCCGGTGTAAATGATAAAGAATTTACTCACTTAATTGTAACCAAATTATATGTAACTTACGTTGTATTATTTTTATTGCATCATTGTTGAAGAGGTTAATGCCATTTACGAGTAGAACATCTTATTACTCATTCGCTTTCATAGTTTTTTTTTCTTATTATACATCTTGTGAAAATAAATAAATTAGCAACCCTGACCCCGGTGCATGTTCCGATTCCGAACTATCTTCTTTAGTTTAAAGTAAATTAATAATATTAGTGTACGAGGGATTATTTCGGTTCCGGAGCAATGTATTATGATGTATTGATATGCCCTTTTAATATAATTTCTATAGTAATTATATATATTAATTAATTGAGAGTTGATAACGACTTGTATTAAATGCACACCTTCAATTCAGTATGTTAATTAGAAATTACTGTGTACCGAACGTAGAAATATAATTTGAATTGCAAATCTAACCGACCGGTATCTCGGGAATGCAATCACAGAGGACGCTAAGTAGCATACTGTTATATAAACAGTATTTGTTAACGTGTACAAGTGGTCACACTGCTAACTGCACAGTTTTTTTGCTGACTCATCACAGGGAAGAGATTCACATTTGACGTTGACACTTATGAACTCTAGCCATAAGACGTAATTTCCTCGGATAACAATATCAAATCGGATAAAATCGGCAAGACTCCTTTGCTTTCGACTTTTGAAAATATAATTTTCAACAAATTTATGTTTCCAAATAGGGATCTACTCTCAAAACCCTCTAAAAGGTTGTTATATAAAAACTAAAAGATAAAGATAACCAATCAAAACTCAGAAGTTTTTTTATCAAAACTCACAAAATTTTCTGTTTATTTGTACTACAGCTTGTTGCTATTCATAAATGATATAATTTATTTTACTAGTTTAATATTTTACAAAAAATATTTCAGCGTATTTTGAAAGTATAGATTACTCGTTTTAGAAATTGAACATTATAATTCGAACTTGGTTCTAACGGCTCGTGGGCCGGATTTTTCAGTCATGCACAAATAAATCGATGATGCATAATAATGTGAGTAATTTTTTTTTTATTTTTTTATTTCGACTTACAAAACTGATTACAATCAAAAATATAAACAATACAATTTTCACAAAAAAGAAACTGGATTGTAACCTTCTAGATGTAAGTACAACATGCATTTTAAAATGAAACATTTTTTCACAGAAGTGACTACAGCCGAAACGTAAAATAATTTAAATTACAAAATATTAGCAAAGTTATCATGATTCTAGTATATCTAGTAATATATTGCAAGCTAAATTTGATCCACATTCCGGTTTTTTAATTAAGATAAAATTTCGCTAACAATTATAACTTGGGCGACGATGCAATATTTATATGGAGCAGAGCTCTAAAAGTTGTCTATATGGATAAAACTAAACATGCATTTACATATTTGGAATATATTTATTCTGTAAAATTTGTTAACTAAAATATCCAATGTCCGTGACTATTAAAAGAAAACAGTTTACTTATTTATAATTATTATTTTATTATATTTTCATATTGTGCAATAATTTTTATTAGTATAAACTCCAACCTATATAATAACAAACAAAAATAATTTTAGTTGATCAAAAAAATTACCAATTGTAACACAGGTAACCAATTGACGGTTTTTTATTTTTTTTGATCATTGATTCGAAAGTCTTCTCATTCACAAATATTTTAGTTAAAATTGTAGTACTGAAGACAAAAAACTTAATCCGCTTGTTTCAGTATATTTTTTTTAATTGGTAGGTTTTCTTTGGCTGTAGGCTGAATTTATTATAACGAAGGCAATCTGTTAGCATTGAAGTCTGTAACAAACAAGGAAACACATTAAACTATACTCGTTTATGTAACAAGCATTAAAACTTACTTTAACAATATCGACCTCCAATTAATTACAATAAGTATTTCATATTCACATCCCCAATAAGTATTTGAAAATAAGGTTGTCTTCAAACAGTTGAATTTTAATCAAGTATTATAGTTTGATAATTTACTTGTATTTATAATTTTGCGTTTATAATAATCGACGCAGTTTTTTTTAGAATACGTCTAAAAGTAAAATTAAATAGAAATATAAACTGAGTAAATGTCAATTTGAACGAAATCTATGAAACGAAATAAGAATAGCAACATGACCGAATGTAAAAAAACCTAGATAACTATAATAATATACTATATTGAAACTGAACAATATATATCGATCCCTTTCGAACAGAGATAATTTCTCTCAGCTCCGTCTTTAATCTGCAGTTAAAAGTGTGGCCATTTGTACTTAACAAACAGCACGTTTTAGTGTTAGTGGCATTCGTCAAGTCCAAATTCAAGGCGAATAGTGTCTACTGAATTAGAAATATAGAGTGACATTCGTAATGACATTCATTGCAATTACAAAACAATGATTTTAAATTTGTTCATGGTTTTTAATTTACTGTTTTTAAAATTAAAATTAAACGTTAAACGTAAACGTAAAGTAAAGGTTAAAATTAAACACTTACAATAAAAACACTTACAGACGTCGTGTCAATGTTAACAAAAGTTTTCTCATCAATATTGATCTGTAATTCTAATAAAACAGGATGTGTGGGCGTCATAATTTACAAAGTTGACGATGCAATTTTGTTATTACGGTAAGATACAGGTCTTCGGTTTTATAGTCAGTCAGTCAGTAAATGAGTGTTTACACATCCAAGGTGAATAACCACCTGTTACTTGGCTACATTTAACGTCGGTGCACTACACCTTATCAATCGCATCAAACTTTTGCTTAGCAGCCACGTGCAAAATCGCAAGTTATCTTCAGAATGCAAGGCTACGAGTAGACATGTCGAGTCCGCGCATAATATTATGAAGACGAAGGCATAAAATGAAAAAGATTATTATGTTTAACCTTCATAAAGTCGTTATAGAAAACGAAAATTGTTGTATTATTAGTGGCTGTTTTAATTTGTTTATGAGTTTTGTTTTTCTGCTTTTTCACAATCTTCAAAAATAGTGATATTTTCTAATGATATTATCTTATGTAAATTATACCATATTGTAATTATAACATATTGTAACCCAAAGTTTCTAACCTTCATATCTCTGTATATCTTGCCACTTTTGGAGTGACACGATGAATTAATCTAACTTAACTCACTTATCCTCTTTGCATCAAATGGTTTTTATTTAGACATCTAGTACGTAAATATAGAGGCTTTTACACTCCAATTATTTTGATCGTATGTAATTAAAATTAAAGTCAAAGAACGATAAACACGGAAAGCTTTTCGATCAGGATCAATTGGGCCGGAGGAAATGGTCTGGATACGGAAGACCGAATTATTCACTGTTTTTGTAGAATAGATAGTATGATAAACTTTCAGTTGCCTACTTAAAGTCTGTTACCTGTTTTCATTAAAATAAATACAATCAATCTATAGGCTCTCTTGAAAGTCGGTTTTATTTTCAATCAGTCTAAAAACTTTTTATAATAATTTTAGTTTGGATATAAAAATAACACCTACACATATATACCTACATACGTACTTTCTCACTTAGATAAAGCCTATAAAAGAGAGATAATAATAGAAACATACTCATGTGGCTATACGTTAGGTTACCTACCACATATGTTAAATTTTTCCAATCGATTTTAAACTCTACTCTTAAAGCAATCAAGCGCAAAACTATGTGGAGATATTTGAAAGATTTGTATAAACTGTCGTGTCGTTGACTATACAATTGAAAATATATAGTTTCAACCCTCTTCAAATATTTGAGTTTAATAATATTATGTAAATATAGGCACACAAAAATTAAAATGTCCGCTGTAAAAATTAATACATTATACTTCAACGTTCAACGAGCATAGTTTTTAAACAAAGTATTGTTTTGTGAACTTACAAGTTATCCTGTAAATAAACTTTTTAAAAATGTTGATGGGTACTTGATAAATTTTGTATTCTACTTATAAAATACAAGTTTAAAAAAATGTAAAAAACGTTGTCAACCGAGACCATAAATGGAACAAATTTTGAGTATTTTGTGTACAAGACCTTAAATATGTCTCTATGTACGTCATATTAAAAGTATTTACTTATTTATTAATTGACCTAGCACGTATCATTTTTGTGTATCTGATGTTACTTCAGAAGTAAAAAAATATATTTTTATATATTTTATCAGTTGTGATATTATTATATGACATTCAACCTTCCACAGTCGACGGATGATTCTACTTACTCATTGCTCCGTTATTCCCCGTTATACGCTATACGGATCTACCGTCAGGTTTACACCGAACCCAATATGGGGTTAGCTATAGTTTTTAAGCAACGGTGGTCAAAGCCGCGTCAAGGTATCGCCCGCCGTGTCTGATTTCTGAGGATTCGAATCCCGGTATAGAAAATTAACTTTCCTGTGTTTTCTCAATGCGATTCCAGGTCTTAGCTTAGTTCAATATAGAAGAAATGTTATGTAATATATATCACATTAATAAAAAATAGAGATTTAGATTAAAGTACATAGACGTTATCTAATTTAGCTGTAAGTAATATATATATTTACTTAAATAAAACCAAAAATGATTTGATACGATTATAATGACTTCCGCTGAGACGTTTCCTCCTACTTCAAAAAAGGAAATTTTTGATCTCATATGCCTACTCGATCGCCTTGTCATTCGGTTCCTATTTCTTTGTTACAGATTAGTGAAGGGGAAGTGGCTACGGTGAATTCATTACTAGCCGGTTTTTATCTTCTGGCTGGACCTTTCATATCGGCTCTAGCGAACAAGTGCGTATTATATTTTATAGCTTTTTCTCTATTTTACCACATGTGTGACTACTGGGGAGCTATATATCCCACTAGTTTCAAAACCGGGGTCAAGTTAACTATCGGTAGCGCAAATATCACTATTGAAATAACATTGACAAGCACTAAGGGAAAATGGAGGGTAAAGTTGAGTTGAGTATAGTTTACTTGAGTATACTAATCCCGCATTAAATTTTAAGATTAGACAAAAGAGACGCCCTCTGTTCATAATTGTGAGTTTGAGAAACTGTGTTTGAATTAGGTATTTCTTGTGTATCCTAATTAATTGATACTATTGTACTTTCAGGTACGGTTTTCGTTGCGTGACCATCGCGGGTAGTATCATTGCCAGCAGCGCCTTTGCTATATCTTACTATGCTGATGGTGTCATCTTTCTATACATAATCTACGGAGTTATTGGAGGTAAGAATTATTATTCGCAATAATAATAATAATACATTTAATTAAGATTTTCGCAATATTTAAAAAAATATTCGAGCATTATAATTTTTTTCTTTTATGCATCACTTAAAAATAATAGAAATGATTAAAATCATCAACGGTCTGAACTGCGGTCTGAAAATTTGAAAGTTAATAAATAGTAGGACCGGAGATAAACTTATTATATTTGTGGTGTTTCAGGAATTGGCCTTTGCATGATCTATATGCCAGCAGTTCTCACGGTTGGATTCTATTTTGAGAAATGGCGCGCGTTAGCTACAGGCCTTGCTCTTTGTGGTTCTGGTGTAGGAACTTTTGTGATGGCTCCACTCACCGATAAACTCAATGAATCATTTGGCTGGAGAGTTACCGTTCTAGTCCATGCAGGTTTGTTATCATCCTTACAGTGACTTTACTTTATCCCCATTGTGTTCATCTTTTATATCTTCTTTTCCATCATTACAGGAACCCTACTGTCGTGCATTGTGTTCGGAGCCATGTTCCGACCAATCGAGCCAGTCCGCGTGACTCTAGACGATTCTAGCGAAGACGATGAAGCGCGTCGCCATGAAGAAGCCGTTGAGAAACTCAACAGCATGCTCAAGCTTCAATCTAAATTTGACTCTGGCATTTCCATGCCACATGAAAGATTTACCAATAAAGTTACACCCCACACATGGATGGGAGTAGCTAATAACACTCGATATCCCACAGCCGAAGAAGTGTTCCGTGGCAGCAATTCCCACTTAACACAGTACAGTCGACGTTCATCAGCCAACGCCGGTGCCATTAAGAATACTCTCGGAAACAAACCACTATTTATCGATGTACCAGTGGTTGAGAAAGACGAACAGGAAGACTCCAATAGTAACATTGACAACACCGAACCACTTATCACCTCTAAAGTAAAGATTGTGCCTGTGAACTATAACTCTCGACGTTCTCATGCAGATCTTGCCAGACCTCTGTATCGAGACGACATTTTCTTCGGCGCAAGTTTGACTAGATTACCTCAATATACCTCGCGCACATCGTTAGGTTACCATTTGGCCGTTACTCATGTCCCTACTAAGGAAGATGCCCAGGAAGAACAATCGAACAAATGCCGTTTTTGCCCAGAGGCCGTGAGGAGGGCATTAGCTACTATGTTAGATATTAACCTCTTCCTTTCACCGACTTTCGTGATTCTGGCCGTGAGTGGACTCTTCACAATGTTAGGATTCTTCGTGCCATACATGTACATCAAACAGAGAGCACTAGATAACAATGTGAGCAAAATGAGCAGCGACTGGTTGGTGTCTGCTATTGGAGTATCGAACATCGTCGGCCGTATTATCTGCGGCATGGTCTCGTCGATGCCGAAGGTTTCACCTCTGTGGTTGAACAACATAGCTTTATCCGCTGGCGGCATCGCTACCATGTTGAGTGGGCTTCACTACAGCGACGCCTATCAATTCGGTTATACCGTCGTTTTTGGACTTGCTGTCGGTAAGTTCACACTTAATTGTTTTTTATATTTAAATTAGCTTCCTATAAATAAAAAAGTCAAATATTAAGCAAGTCATCCAAGACCCACTTATGTTCTTATTGCTGGATGGATACAAGTGGATGGATGGAGTGAAAGACAGTAGAAAATGAGCCATAACCCAATATGATTGCCCAGTGCAAATTGGTAAACACTTACAGCGCAGTCGGGACTGACGGCTTAAATTGATTTCCGAAGCATAGAATTTCACCGAAGTGTCTGCAATTGCTATTTTAAAGCATAATGATATAATTATTTTCAAATTACAGCTTGCTTCGCATCATTGCGGTCCATCTTGGTTGTGGAATATTTGGGATTAGAAAAGCTGACGAATTGCTTCGGTCTTTTCCTCCTCTTTCAAGGACTTGGAGCCTTACTAGGCAATCCCATAGCCGGTGAGTTTTGCATTCTTCTATTGAAAAGAATCAAATATATTACATACATGCTCAGCAAAGTTAAAAATATAATATGTATAGTTTAAGCTAATAATCATATGTTTATTTTATCCCATTTAATTAAATAGTAATAATATATCATTATAAAATATATTAAATGGTTCGAAACTAAGCTGAGGTCATAATAAGGAAAATACGGGTAGCATATAAAAAGGTTTGAAATAATTATGAGCAGGAAATAATACATATTAATGTTGAACGCACCAACTGAAACCAGTATCTATATAACAGTAAATAGCATCTTAATCATACCTACGATATACTGCAGGAGAGGAATCTTAATTATCAAAATCAGTTAATTTGTATCTTCGTGAGCTATTTAGCGTCTATAACACTTGGCATATTGCCTGCTTCCACAAAGGCCAACGGCATCGCAACGCCAAAAATTATGCAAGACGTTCTTAGTCAGTAACTCTTTTCATTACAGAGCCTACTCAATATAACCAAGAAAACTTACAGTGGTACTCTCAGGTGCTCTCTTTACAGGATTAGACTACATATACGTGTTTGTGCTTCAAAAATATTTTTTAAAGACGATCCTTAAAGCCCGATATCTTATATTATGCATTAATTTGAATACTACGTAATAAAATATATTTTTTTCTAGCTACTGACACTTGTAATTAGGGTTAAAAATCCTTGGTCAGTGATAAATGTATAATATTATTTTTCCTTTTCAGGTATTCTATACGACCAAACGCAAAGTTACGAAATACCGTTCTACGTGTCCGGTAGCTTCTTGCTATTCTCTGCTGTAATGTGTTACCCAGTCGACTGGGTCAGTAAATGGGAGAAGTCTCGCAAAAAATACAACGACTCTACGAGCATTATGGGCTAAACTCTGAACAGCGAGTTCAATGCGAGTGTTACGCCTGAACCGTGAGTTCAACGCGACATATCTGGGACGAGAGACATTGGTGCCAAAAGAACCTCCAAACAGAATTAGTACATCTATTTCTGGGCTGGACGACCTCCTAGTGCATACACAGTGTTATTTCTTAGGCTGGCATTCGATGATAGCTTTACCGTTTTTTACACGCCTTGAATACGAGCCTTGGAAAAATTCTTCGCCCTCTTCCCGTTTCACATAGAGGAAAATTGTATAACATTATTCTCTGTTATTGAGAGAATAATCAAAAATATGTTGACTTAACCAAAAGAACCTCAAAATATGAAATTACGGTTGAAATACACATTCCCTTCGGAAAGCCAATAAAAGACAAAACTGCAAGGGACGGTTGTTGTAGCAGTGGGCTCAGTTAAGTCGTTAAATGCATTTAAAATAGGTTTAGATTAAAAAAAAGTACAAAGACTCTGATATGAAATATGTAGGATTATTCCACAATTATGTAGAAAAAAAATTCCGGCACTAGATGTTTGAAGCCAAAAGTGTTATTGCAGAAAAGAAATGATAAATTTATGTACCTATTAGAACTTGATCCCGAAAATGATGCACAGTGTAAAGACTATTGTTACTTTTTATACACATTACATTGTAAGATACATCATATCAGAATGCAGGAGTGACTGTAACGTAATATTTGTGCCTTATTGTACGGTGTGATTGTCTACACGTTAAAGTAGTTAGTTTGTTATATTGTACTTGTTGGAACAGATGTTTCAAATGTCCGTTGTATTTTATTTAAAATAGTTCGTAGAAACAAACTTTTTTTTTTTGTTTTAAATTGTATGAAACTCTTAGGTTTAAGTGCTACAATGTGGCTGTGGTCCTTTTAGAATATTTAAACGGTTATAAATAAGAAATCATAGTCATTATCAGTCTTCCATAAATAATTTTTGTGCCTGCGTATTTCTATATCAACTATAATACCTCGATCTTAGCTAACTTGCGTATTTGCAAGATTTGTGTCGCAGGGGTATGTTAAAATCAGAGATTATCAAATCTCTACAACGGATATGATCAAATGACAGGACATGTTAATTTTAACATTTCAAACAATTATGTAAATTATAAGAAAAATGAAAATTTACTAAAACAAGTACCTATTTCATAGCACAAATTGAACTGACAAATATCGTTCACCATTTCACTGAATTATTTTTTGATAAGTCTAGTGATTTGGTCAATACATTTGTTTATGGGAATGTTAAGTTTCCAGTTGCAAATTCAACATATCACTGCGACATATGCATATTTGTGAGATATTTAGAGACTCTTTCCACACTTGTGGTATGCAGAAACGGAGTTATACCATTTTCATAAAATTACTTAATTTACTATCTATATTCAAATATTGGAGTAAAATTAAATTGTGCATTATTATTGGAATAGGCGAGGAATCGATTTGCCTTTTTTTGAGGCTTTTTTTTTATTGCAGTTATTTCATCATCTTGATCTTGCCTAAATATATTATTGATTGTATCTGATTGTGAAAAATTGCGAAAGTATAAATTCCACTAAAACTATGTGTTTGATACACAAAAAAAATGTAATTTGATATGTATAATGAACATGAAACAGTGGGAGGGATTTCTAAGGTAGCCTATAAGAACGGACTTGGATAAATCCTTCGCTGTTCTTATTTATTTATTACTAGAACAAATTATTTATTTTTTAATATAATAATAAATTCTATATAATAGGCTATAAAACGGGAATCAAATCCTTCTCCTATGATATTGTGATAATTTAAAAATAATAGTCACTAAATACAGGGAATATAAATAAATATGCTTTGTTTTTGTATTCACCTTCTTAGCAAATATACGTCTATTTTCACGCGTAGTACTTAGCATTATAATCCTCCTTCGTATTTCTTTTTCAAATAAATGAAAATATCAGAATCTGGTCAATACTAATACATTTGTTTATAACGTCGAGCAGGTGACCCTCTTTTATTATTTTAAAAGTATGACCTTTTTTGTCCATTTTAAGAATTACGAGGAAGTGAACTTTTGACACATCACATCGTCAATGGAATTAATTTTGGCATAATTCAATATTTTAAAGACCGTTTACGGTAAAGTAATATAATTGTCGATACTATGAGTTGAAATGTCTTAAGTCTCAAATGACCAAAATGGCCCCTTTTGTGATTAAACAAAACAGCTGTTAAAACTTTGTTAAATGAATATTTAAAATGAAATAAATAAATCCGGGTCATATTTCCTACTTTTTCTTGTTAATAATAGATGGAAGGTTTTTAATAGATCTGTTGATATAGACTTATTGTTGGTTATAATGTAATTTTGAAATTATTTATTATCTTTTGACAAATTGTTGATATGAATATGGTGACTATGATTTTCTTCCATTAGAGCGGTGTTGCCACATTGCCTTTAAACTGCTTGCATACTATCATTGATCAATAAAAATATAAAATATTTTACCTTATAACGGTACTTATACGTGGAATCTTAATTAATTTGTTAGCAAAATATGTACTTATTAAAATACAATGCTTCCAACTTTATCACTGCCGAATTCTTTGATTTGTGATGTATGAATTTTATTTTTTCAGAATAATGTAAAAGTTAAATAGCCTATACATATATGTACTTTTATTTTAGCTAATATTGAATGATAGATATCAAGCAGATAAAACGTATTGAAATCGAGTGTTTAACCTGAAGTCATTCTTCAGAAAAATAAAAAATAATCGTTAAATGAAGTTGTTTCATTTCACAAATCTATCTAATCGTCAATAACTTCCACACCTTTTATAGATAAGGATAAATTTGAGTAAATACGGCACGGTCGAATATGCATATACCTATAAAAACTGGCTGTGCCTGCGACTTCGTTTGTGCTTAGGAGAAAGTGTAGGTGTTTTAAGAATTCTTCCTTCCCTGGATGGTATGCACATTGAGAGCACAAGTAAAATACGAGTACATTGCAGACATATTCTTGCAACCTTACATGCAGTTGTGTGTAGCAATGAAGCACGATACAATTCGACCGATTATTACAGATCCGTACGTCAAACAACTTTTTCTAAATTTTATGAAGTAAACTATGTGAATTTACGGTTTTGCGTGCACGTGTATAAGTGGATAGGATGGATAGCGCTTTTGATCTCCCGCGGTTGCTAAGACTAAGTTACGTTCGCAAAGACCAGTAATGGGATGGATGATATTTTTTTTATTTGGCTGAGCGTGGTAGAGCGGGACAGGCGTTGCGGAATGGGACTGGGTATGGCGGGATTTAGCTCTCTTTTCCTCTCATGTACGTACAATTAGCGTTTGATCTGCAAAGGCAAAGATTAAGCGGCGTTCGCAAAGGCTAGTAATGGGATGGCTGATCAATTTCTTTTATTTGGCTGAGTGGGGTGGGGCGAGACGGGCGTTACGGGACAAGGCGCGGTTTTGCACTCTTCTATGTATACCTTGTTAAGTGCGTTCGATCTACGATTGCGAAGATAAAGCGTCGTTCGCAATAGCCAGTAATGGAATGGATAGAGGATAATATGTACTCATAAATGCAATTCGATGACAAGATTTGAGACCGATATCGTCAGATTGTGCAATCTCATGAGATAGACTTGCGATTTTTCATACATTTTATAAGGTTGTGCGATTCGAACGATATTAATGAGGAAGTATTAAAAAAGAACACTAAAAAGTACCACACTAGATCGACTCTAGCGAAAGTTGTTTTTTTGCAGGAAACGAATGGACCAGAAACTGCAAATTAAAAAACTAAAATTTGAAAAGTTCGGAACTTAAGCGGGGAATTCACTAGACAGGCATGCCTTATGTGTTCTGTGGGCATGCCCGCGGGCAAGTCTGCCGGCCATGTCCGTCGTTCACAACACACTACACAGACTCGTCAGTTAATGTTCGACGCACTATGCGACTGGTTTTAAATAATTTGGCTGTGTTTTAATTGCAACAGGGTTTTAATTAATTTTTAACTGCTTTTTGTTAATAAATTGCAGTCACGTTTTTCAGCGAACCCCATATCATTTAAAAAATGTTTGCCAGCCTCCATTTAGCCGCAACATATGGGTTGCCAGATTTAAACAGGTGATATCTTATTGTTTATAATTATTTACGATTACGTGTTTTTCAAATGAATTATATATGAAATTAAAGATTTTTCTTTTACTTCATTAAAATCCAGCCCAGTGCAAGTCGGATTCGTGCACGAGGGATTCCGTACCGAAAACGAGCAAAAAAATCACGTTTGTTGTATGGGAGCCTCTTTAAATGTTTATTTCAGTCTGGTTTTTAGTGTTATTTGTTGAAGCAGTAACAGAAATATATCATCTGTAAAAATTTCTGTCTAACTTTCACGGCTCATGAGATATAGCCTGGTGACAGACAGACAGACAGCGAAATCTTAGTAATAGGGTTCCTGTTTTACCATCTGCGTACGGAACTCTAAAAAGACGGTTCCCTGTAAAAATAAGTGCTGCAACTAGAGGTTGCCATTACCTAAATTAATTTCTTCAACACCGGAGACTATGAGAAGGTATATTATTATTATATAACATTGTTATTATTTATAATTTAAACATATTTGAATATTTTAAAATGAACGACACTTCGATTTGCAGTAAAAATTAAATGAAGAATGTTTCTAATCAAGCATGAATTATTGTAATAAAAAATACATTAGTTACCGAAATCAAACTAGATGTCGCTACGGTACGTTCTTGATTTCTCCGTGACAACTCTTCCGGTTTTCTTTCATGTATAAAAGGAAATTAGTTTTCAAAACTCAATAAACAACTCACATTCTATCTGCACTTTTTCGTATTTCTGTTGATATATAAGTTACGAATTTTGCAAATTTCAGTTTTTTAATATATTAGTCAAGAGGAACGGAAATGACTGGCTTTGGTCCATTCATTTCCTGCAAAAAACAACTTTTGCTAGAGTCGCCATCTAGAATTTCTCTTTTTAAATACTTCCTCATTGATAAAAAATATGTAATTTAATATAAACCAGTGTGGGCCCTTCGTCTCTCTTGCTCATAACTTAGTCTCCTGTGTGGAATAAATTGTAGCAACCGTGTTTTATAATGTAAATAAAACAAAAAACTTTAATCCCATATATAATTCATTTGAGAAACCCGTAAGTGTAAATAATTAACAATAAAATACCTGGCAACTCATGGGTTGCGGCTGGTTATTTCGATAAATCATTATCTTTTCAAATTATACGTTTACAATTGTTATATACAATATCAGATTCTGAAACTATATATATTTTTCGAAGCTGAATATATCTGTGTATCGGTCTGTATTTGGTAATCTCTAGCCATCGTGAACACAAACAAGTAAGAAAACTAATCAAGCTTTATTCACGTTAACACTTGCTAATTTAGCACGCGAAAATAAACCTGCGTGCAATAACTAGTATGCTTATTCACAAGCATGGTCTTTTCGTATTCTTTACACAATTAAGTCTATTAAAAACACACAAACGTATAGAAACAACCTTAACTCAAATAGGCTGTTTTTAATCCTGAGAATCTTTTAATATTGCTAATTCACTCTCACAAATACAAGCGCCTGCACGCGTAGCATGACGAACTCGAGAACGTTTTGTGTGCACTCAAATGTCACTTTTCTCGGGTAGGCCCATACTATATCTCACTCTCGACCCGAGAAAGTGACATTTGGGTGTAGACGAAGGGTGCTGGATCGGGTATTACGATGCCATACGGTTTGATAACCCATATCTATAAATATTGGTTATCGAGCGAGATCGTATCACCTCGATGCAGCAGTGTTTAAAAAATATATAGTTTTTGTGCGCATCGATATCGGATATCACGATATTTGTATTGCCCACTCCTACTCTCAGCCCGTTGCACGCGTCCACGTTGCAGTCCACTGCTTATACTATCTTTCAAAAATAACACGCGAGGCAGCACCTCCTGCGTACATTCAACTTATCGAATAAATATTGTTTATAGAGGATATAAACATCTAATCCACAATAAAACAACAGATGTAGCAAATGGGATGTTATATTTGCATGTTATTTACATTAAAAGTAACCTATGAGTTAGAGTTGGGTCCACGGCGGCGACCAAACGTCTGTACAACGTTGACAAATCTGTAAACAAATTAATATTATTATATTATTAAATCTGTAAATAAATCTTATGGTGTTTTTAAAAATTAACAATATTAAAAGATGTTATGATAATAAAATTTGATAAATTATAACAAATAAAAAACCCTATTACACCAAAAGATTTATTTCGATATTGTTTACTATTGTTGTTCAAATATCTAAGATAATTTATTTTCATAAACAATATTCGATTAGCAACCTTAATCAAATATTGAAACATCTTTATGTCCTTTAACATAAGTTATTGTTTTGTATCAGTGGTGCCATATTACAGGCAGTAGCTGTACTAAAATAACCAAAGAATGATTTATTTTTAAAACATGTTTTAATTGGATACCAATCAGCGTGAAATAATTTGTGTGTGTATCTTCATTGTTTGTGTTTAGTTAGTGGTTTTCATATAATAGAGCATGCTATTTTATGTACCCCAATACAAAAAAACATAATACTCAATTCTCTGTTCAATTATAAAAATTGTATTTATAAAAGTAATGAAATTAGTCTGAAACTTTTACTTCATAATAGCTACTTTTTAAAGGCAGACTAAATCCACACAGACAAAGTTGTCAGTAAAAGTAATATTTTTTATTTCAACATAGTGTTTAGTATAATTCAACACACTTTTCTTACAATATCTTACTCTTTACCAGTTTCTTATCCCTAGTTCCATAGAATAAAAGTGCCAACTGTAAATCTAAATAGCTGTTTTAACCAATTGGATGCCGGACATTTAAATTATTTTCCTCACCTTCTGTTGTATTGGATCCTGCGCTTGGCACGGCCAGTCTTCTTCTTTTTCTTTTGTTGTTTCTCTACCTTTGGGGTTTGTCCTTTAACCTTTCCTATAAAATGAATATTTCGAAAAATCAGCACTAATCTTAAGTCAATAAACAGGACTTTGAGGTTTTATAAAATTATTTACATATTACTCCATAATTTTCCAGGTAATGCAATGAACATGTTACCAAATATGTATATCAAATTAATACTGTTAGATACAGTTTATTAAGGAATTGTTGTTTGTTACTTTAATAAAATCTCTGAAGGTTGTTTCTATACTTTAAATTTGCACACAAATTATCAAAGTATATTACTATGTTTACATAAACATTTAACTTAGTGATCATCAGTTTGGTGGTAAACCTATGGAAACTTTGACCAAAACTGCATTCTCACATTGTGATTGATCATATTTGGCTCAGAAATTTCCATCCGTGAAAGAAATCCTGCAGCAATGAGTAATCTTTTATTTTGTTTTTATCAAAGTGTCATACACAATATTGAATTTAGTGTAGGTGTTAATTTGTTTTTAAGATTGAAATATATTTTTTTTGTTTTGATTATTAGTTAGTGCTTATTGTGTTATTAGATAACAACTTAAAGAAGTAATTTTGCTTATTCATATTTAGAAAAAAAAACATGAATGGATAGAGCCAAAGATTGCTCAAATAAATACCACATCTATTTTCAGTACTTTTAAGACACAATTATTTGTTCGTTTAATGAAGGTGAATTTAATGAGGGGTTGTTAAGTATGTTGATTATCGCGATGAAAATGGCTAAGACTGAACAGCTTTGTGATTTAAAGGTAAGAAATTAAAGAGAGACTGATTATAAATTTATCATGATGATAATGTCTAAGACTGGATATAAAGATAAAAAAAAATAAAGACTGTCCGATTATAAAAATGTTATTTTTATTTTTCCCTCAAAATATGATCTTTGTAAGGAAGTTTCGGTTTTGGTTTTAGTCGAAACTGAGACTGTTGGCTAAATTCAGTTTCAGTTGGAAAAACTAGTTTCAGTAAGAAACTAATTTGAATAATTAATGATAGCAAATAATAAATAATTAGAACGATTCGTCTGTCAACCAACAAAATCTAATTCAAATAATCTTGAAAATAAAAAAAAAGAAACAATAAATGAATGTTTTTTTCACAATTAAAAAATATGAGTAATTTTGTATAAAACAACCATATAACATCGGCTTCTTAATTTATTTTTATTAAAGTTACTAGCTCTTTAACATTGGTATTGGGGACTATCTAGTTTTATCCATAACTGAATCGGCATATAATTATCTCAACTATAGTATTCTTACCATCAATCATCACAGAAACTCTAAAATCAACAGTAGAAATTATGAAAACAATCTTACCAGCACGAGCCAGGGAACCGTGCACTTTACCACCAAGCAGTGGTACTGTGAGATCCAACTCAGCAGAGGAGAGTTCCGAAACCAGGTAAGAATCATCAAGAGGAGCGCCGTTAACTGAAAGTGTCAAATCTTCAGCTCCTACCTCGGCAAGTACTCTCAGGCGTTCCTGAAACCGATCAAAATATAACCTATAGAAAAGAGCTATCAAGAAAAGCAAGGTCAAATAACTGATATGTCAATACATATGTTTCACGAAATATTGTACAATAGCCGACATACTATCAATCATACGGATTGTGGAATGCCTATAAAAGGTTGATTCATTCTATTTTTACCTTGATTTGTCCAATAGATTCCTCGCCACTGACTTCCAAGACATGCGTCGACTGACCTCTGACGTGAAGCTGCATTTTGAGGCTTCTGTAACAAGAAACAAAATTGGTAGCAGCGTGGTCATATCCGTGCACGACGGCGACATAAACAGTCTCAATTTATCAATCGGCTATGGCATCATAAATTAAAATTTTAACTTTTTAAGACTTTAGTAACATAAATCTAAAATAAAAACTACCGTACACAAATAGAACTAGAAGCAAAACCGATAACTCAATTTAATAGAAATTTCAATAACCTTATCAACCACTTTGACAAGTAAAAGAAAAAAGGATGGCGGGCGATCCGGAAACGGATATACACTTTTTTGTATATTTGACTAAAAGGAGTCTAGCTCATAGAGCCATAGCCATATTAGATATTTTTTCAATAAAGATACGGCCATACTGGACCATAACTTGCCCTCCCGTGAGCGTTTGTTTAATATTCTGAGGATTAGTTCGGCATTTTCTTAAAAATTTTTTTTTATTAATTATGCTCTTTTATTCTGATATTATTTACCTTACAATTTTCGATTACAATAGCGATAGCAATAGTTTTTAAGATCTGTAATACCTATTCTTAGCAAATAAATACTTTGAACTTTGATCAACAGTTGTATTGTTGATTGAAGCTTACAATAATTACTTAAGCTATTTACCCAAGAAGTTTATCCTGTCCTGGTTGTTTACTTTACTCTTTTTTTTATTAGCCGTTATCGCGCATTAAAAAATATATAGCCAGTTGCTATATATTTTCTAATTTATATGAAATAACTAATTGAAGTTTACTTTCATAGTTACTAATGCTTAGGGAATACGAAATTTTTTGATACAAAATCAAGTGTCAAAATGAAGTTCAGTGGAAATCGCCAATACTGACATTTCAAAATTGCAAACCAATGATAGAATTAGTGATTTTGACACATAGGAATAGCTCACTTTTCGGCGATTACAACTTTAGAACTCAACTCAAGTGAGTTAGCAATTGAATATAACCGTTGGTCGGGCTTTGATTTTCTACCGCACAGATGGTCTTTATTGTTACTGTCATGGAAGTACTATACAAACAGGATTGAGCACTCGCAGCTAAAAAGTAAGCTGAATGAGTTATGTATTATAAAAATGACAAATTTCTCCACTTGTTTTTAAATCTAAATACATAAAGTGTAGAGTTTATAATTAATTGCAGAAATTTGTTTTAAAGTCTGACGCGCAGCTATGTATACGATACGACGTACGTGGTATATAGTAATTATGTCTAGTCTTTCACCGCTGACACCTAAAAGGAATAATAATAGAAAATAACTTGAATTAGTCTCTGTAGAGCAATAGAAAATAAATCTATGAAGAAGTTATTTTCGTAATTTTAATTTTTGTGAGTCCTGTTCGTATACTCCATGGTTATTGAAAGATAATTATTATTTTCATATTGGCTAGACTGTAATCCACCCTCAAGCTCTTGATTGGTTAACTAGAAAAAGCGGCTGACTCGCCGTCTGCCCCGTGTGATTCGGTCATCCGTAGGAAAATATTTTTTAAAATGATAAAGTAATCGTCAAATTAACTCAACAAAAAATTTCTTTATTTCGCCTTGAATATGCTCTCAAGATTGCTTCGGCAGTTTTTGTTTACATTAGTGCATTTAGTAGTGTCTGTACTTGTTGCTGTTCAGAATGTTTATCTTCGTATTCGGACACAATACAATGATTTTTCTGGTGGAGAGGAGGCAGCAAATGATGTAGAAGTGATATTAAGACATATTCCATACATAATTAAAAAGCCGAAACATTTAGTAATATTAACAGACATGACCCAACACACTTTGAAGGATCTTGCATTAGTTGTGATCTGGAGTCTCGTGGCAGGAGTTCCTTACATTAGTTTTCACGATGTTACAGGTAAAAATTATCAATCTCCAATAAACAGCCATTTATTTCTTCATTAGAATGATTTAGAAATATCCTTTTGAATTTATATTCATTGAGTTTGCCCCTCACTGAAAAGGTAGAATGGTACCTTTTCTACCTGGTTTTCTGTAATGCAGCAGTTGGCGACAATAATTGTAATTTTTTTTTCTACTTAATAATATGATGATCAATTTCCAAATTTAATATATAATTCTAATTATGTTGATCACTTAACAATGTTTCATGATAAGGTGATGTAATCGCAGATATTTCAAAGTAGTTTTATGTCAAATGTTTACAAATTTGATTTTTCTCTTACAGGGGAACTCAAAGAAAATGAGACAAAGTTATTTTTGGAAGTTGAGAAATGTAAAAAAGGTGTCCCAGGCTGCATAAAATGGTCCAACAGACCTAATCTGAATGGATATACAAATGGAATTCAAGCCCACACTATTACTATCAATGTTTTTACTGCATCTGATGGTAGACCAAAAATAGCAGAGTGCATACGTAAAATTGCTAACAATGAACTCAATTGTAAAAGAAAAACAAATGAATTCACCGCACAAGAATTTGATGAAGTTTTAAGACAGTTTTATCCATCAATTCCAGATCCAGATTTGGTTATGTATACTGGGTCATCATGTAGAACGTATGGCCTGTTACCATGGCAAATAAGACTTTCAGAGTTTGTACAACTTTCATTAGACCAATGTATAAATATTCAATGTTATATAGGTGCTCTATATAAGTATAATAAATGTGATCAAAGGTTTGGCAAGTAGTAATTCTAATTCAAATAAAAAATAATAGGCCTAAGTGTAATTGGAGTGTGAAGTGGTATATTAATATATTTATTTATTGAGAGATTTGTCATACAGATCAGTATTTAGTTATGAGAATAGAATTCAAATTAAAAAACTAGGTGTTTTTTTTTATTTAAATTTAATTTTACTTATGAAAGTTCCATCTGTTGGTCCTATTTAAAATGGAATTATCTTCAATAGACCAACAATATTCAAAAACATTCAACAATATTGTTTTTTATTAAATATGTAAAGTATCAGCATACAGTGGCTGAGACTGGTACTGTGTTTTCAGTTTTAATGACTGTTACATAAGTGTTTCATTAAAATACCATAAAAATGAAAGCTGTGAATATTGAGCTGTGTTACGCACAAAACAAACATCAGCAGTATATTGCGCTTTAAAATTCCTAAAAGTCGCCTTAAACTTACTCCAAAAGGCAAAAAAGGTATATGACCTCTAGTACTGTGATAGCATTCACTGCTGAATTTTTGCAAAACACCGAAGAGCTGCTGTGTGACCTTTACTCGGAAACTTGGGTTGAATGAGCATAACTAAGAACTGCCTATTCAGTAAATTTGTTTAGATGGAATAAAAATAGTTTTAAATTTAAATCTTTTCTTGTTTTTAGTATAAATACTCTTATTGCTAAAGTGCTAAAGCAGAGCATTCTGATCCATATAATCAACTATGTTTTTTTATCCAAATATTTGGTGCTTATACAATTTGGGTAACAAATAGTTATATAAAAAGTTAGCTGCTCTGATATACCTCCAATATTATGTAATAACTAAATATATTGTGAAATATCTAAATAGTACTGGTTGTTTTAATAAAATCTGATGAATACCTGAAGATTACTAATAAAACGAAATATCTGAAATGAATTAAAGTTTATTGGAATAATTCATGGATGCTTATGCATACTAGAATACTATACATAAATACTATATATAATACACCTGAAGCCAATGCCCCACCTGAAAGAGAATAAAAATATAAATATATCACAGCCTTTTGTAGTTAATATTTGAACCTACTCTTCGAGGAGCATTGCTTTTTAAACAACACAAGAGTTGTTTCTAGTATGTATAAGTTATGTATATGTTTTTAACAAATTAAATATAATAATGGATACTAATTTTTAAATCTACTTATTGATTTATTTTTCTTGGAATGCCAGTTAAAAGATTTATATCACAAATTCATAATAACAACTTATTATTTAGTATACAGATAACGAAAATAGGACAGTTAAAATATATAATCAATAATATACAATCAACATCCTGTTGACACTTATCTCAAATTAGAATTTGTAATTCCGTTTTACTAGTTGGAACTCGTGAGAGTTATTTTATGGATGAATTAAAAATACAACCTGTTATATATTGTAACCTGATGTTCATCGTCGATGCCGCGAGTAGCTGCCGCTGCGTGAACGCCGCCGGTCGTAGTCCCTAGACCGCTCATACCTATCATGCTTGTCGTAGTCACGACCGGACCGGTCGTATGACCTATCCCGCCTTGACGTTTCCCTATCGTAAGATCTTCTGTCGCGACGACGCGAATGCTCCTCGGACCTGTCCCTCGATAATCTCCTGCGTCCAGATTTCGATTCGTAACTCGTCGAACGGGAACGCTTCGTACGTTTCCTGGGTCGCTCCTCTTCCGAATCATCTCTGTATTTGTCTTTATGTGATCTGTCATAATCTCTACTTCTAGAAGACTTGTGTCTGCTGTAAGAGTCCTCTTTTCTTCTCGACTTAGATTTTTCGGATCTTTCACTGTCATCATAATGTTTCGATTTTGAGTATTTGTCATCACTTTTGTACGATTTATTCTTATATTTATCTCTTTTTGATTTTTTATGTGATTCACTAGAACTAGAGTTTTGCCTTTTACGTTTTTTCACTTGTTTCGTCTCTATTTTTTGGATAGATTCATTATCTGATGATGAGTCACTAGAACTCGATGCAGAATCTGCCTCTGTATCACTAGAAGTTGAACTATTTTTGTTATTAATCTTGGTATTGTTTTTTTGAGGACTAGGTGTGTAATCTCGTTTACTTGATTTCTTTGGTTTCTCTTCAGGGATGACTTCTAATTTTCTAACACCATCAAGTTTGTCATTAGGCTTACTATTATTACTTTTTTTATCTCTTGATATACGACGTTCAGGGAGTTTTTCGGGTGTATCACTTTCCAAAGGAGGCGGGGTCGCTGAACTCTCTGTAACAATTAAAAATATTTAAAGGTACGAAGTCTATTGTTCAAAAAAGGGTTTAATATTTTCAAAATCAACATGGTTCACAGACAAGTACAATTTTTAAACGGAACAATGGAATGTTTTCATGGGTGCGGTTCAATGTGTGACCTTGGCTGTTTGAAATATTCTGTACATACTTTAACATATTTCAACTTATGATTGTTAAGTATGCAAATTTTTCATAAACTCAAAACTGATAATGACGCACCTGTGTATACTTCAAACATTTCACATAACAACAGAGTACATAATTATTGTTTTTATGAATTTAAGTATATACTTTTTTATTTAAAAACTATTCTCATTCAAATCTTAGCTTTCCTCTATGAAAAAAAGTTATACAAATAATATTTGCATGCTCTGCTGTTGTACGAATATGTTTTGGTTCGTTCTTTTAAAACTATTGCCGTTGTAAAAAAAACTATAATAATAACAAAGACAAAAATGAATATAAACAAGGATAGTAAAGAACTTATATGACGTCACAGATATTATATGAAGTTTATAAAACTTTGCTAAAGAGAGTAGTTTATTTGTGACACCATAATTTCATAATTATTGGTACGACAATGGAATATCAATGACTAGTAACCATTATCTACACCTCGTATAGAACAAAATCGGTTCCAGCTATGTGTAGGCTGAGATGTTTTAAGCTATATAAATCTTGAGATCGTCTTCTTCTAAATCTTCGTCAAAATTAACGGTTTTTGGTTGTTTGTCCCGGTGTCCCCGGGACGCAAAAATGTCCCGTTTTCGAAATGGTGAGAAAATTTTGTTGGACGCACGCTGTTGGTTGCCTTGGGGTAGGCCAGACTCAGATATCTATGCCAACTTCTTTCATTTTCCAATTAGATAAAAATTATTTGAAACTCTTTACACCGAATGCAAGTTTTCATTAAATAACAGGTGTTTAGGATCGTACTCAGTGGCGTGCACACTGTACATACAAATAAGCACTGCATACCCTACACATAAAACCTAACTAAACATTAACTCGATACGAGTATTCACACTCATGATCATGATTTGGTTAAATTAGTAAAAGTGCCATCTATCAAAAGTTGACAGAACTACTATAAACTTTTAGTGAGCAGAATATTTTCAATCGACCGCTACGCTGGCGCCGCCGCCATCAACACGGCCATAAGCTGCACTTCTTACAGCTTATTCGCAACTAGTGGCCGTCAGCCACTTCGTACGCGTTTTCCATTATTTCTTCGCTCCTAATAGTTGCAGCGTAATGTTATATAGCCTAAAGCCTTCCTCGAAACATGGTCTATTCAACACAAAAATAATTTTACAATTCGAACCGGTAGTTCCTGAGATTTGCGCGTTCAAACAAACAAACTCTTCAGCTTTATAATATTAGTATAGATACTAAGATTAATATGACAAGTTTGTTGTAGGCAGAAATCATTTGTATGCGTGTGTAAAATTCATGCATGTGTTACGGTTTTGAGAGGCACTGCTCATCGCAACGTGATTAATTTAAGAAGTCATCAAAAGAAAGTGTTTGCGAAAAAGGACAAATTCATAATAACAACTTACTTAGTTTAGCGGTGTATCGTTTTAATTTTTTTTTTCGTAATTTTGTTTTGATTACTTTTCTGAGCGCAAGTGATTTAAGTTGTATAATCATTAATCAGTCTAATTACGTAGTGATTTAAATACCGTGATTTTTTGAAAATGATAGCTTTGAGCTGCTCTTTCTTGTCTGTGCTACAGTGTGGTCCCATTTTAATTTAGTCCAGATTTAGCAATGGATTCTATGAGAAAACCATATAAGTCTTAAATTTGCATCAAGTATGCGTGTTGCTTGCTACCCCAAAACTCAAAATATCACTAAAATGAATGAATTAAGCAGTGCCCTTATACAAATGTCTTTTATAAGTGTTTATTTAAATTATATGTGTGTACAAAATGCATAAATAAATAAAATAAATTATTAATTAATGATTTTTTCCACCCCTATGAAAAACCCAAGGAAAAAACGGCCAAGTCAATCAAAACATATAAATCGCAATATGTTGAATATTTACGTGATCTCCTCGGTCTCTCCGGCGTGTTGGCTACAGGCGTGACGGGCTCGTCCCCAGACTCGCGCAACTCGGCGCGACGCACCTCCGCTTCTATATCGCGCGACGTCCGCTCGAACTCTTGACGTTTTCGCTTGATGATATCCTGTCACACCATAACCACACTTATTCTTCAATCTAGACTTTTATAAGCACTTGTGGATGTAGAAAACTACGCTATCGGTTCGCAAATCTACGGCGGGAGACCTTGTACTGAGTTTACCGGCAAGAATCTCAGCAAGGGTTGCTTTATTCTCCCGGTTTTATCATACACAGAAGTCATATTGGAAAATTATTTTATTAGACTAATCAGACCACATCATCATCATCAAGACATTGCAAGCTCAGGCCTTCCTTATGAATGGTTAAGGAGGATGGGCCATGACCCTCGATGCTGGTCCAATGCGGATTGGAAGCGTCAGCGCCCAACTCGTGGAATGATGAACTCGAGAACGCTTTGTCTTCACCTAAATGTCACTATTTTGGGGGCGCTCATACGATATCTCACTTTCGAGAAAGTGACATTTGGGTTTCTCGAGTTTGCTACGCGTGCTGGAAGAGATTGCGTCTAAGCGGTAAAGCCGATTGTACTGTATTTTAAGATTGTATGTAAATGAATTTGTGATAACATGGAGTATATATTCATGTATGTGCAAAAGGTAAAAATAAGCTGACTACTTGTACCAAAGATATATTTTAGGAACTCTTATTGAATGTTAAATGAGAAGTTAGAAACATGGCATGGACCTGACCTTGGGGATCAAAGAATGATAAAAATGTATAAGACTATATTTATAACTTTATTTATTTAGGTACCTTATTAATCCATTAACGTTTTAAAAATAGTATGACGATTTGATATTTTATTGTAAAATAAATAAGTCCATCGTCACAAAGATCTTATTTTGCTGTAGTGAACCATGAAGAATCTTTACTTTATTATTTTGCCGGCCACGTCTCCAGTAAGGTTCCATGACTCCCTAGGGGTCGCGATACACAGATTTTAAGCTTTTGCATTATAGTTAATAATAATTGATTTTTAATCTGCACATTAAAGTGTCACAGAATATAGTACAGAATGCAATTCTGTACATGTATGTACTTCACTCTTCATAGTTACGCTCTCGACGATCACCCTAGGCGTGTCAACTTGGCTAATATACAAAAACTTATTACCCATAGCTCGTTTAGCATAAAACTTATTCTTTAATATAAAAAAATTGAACATACCATTATTACAAAACGGTTACAGAACAAAAATATCATATTTAACATTGACAGTTTTCACCACACAAAGTCTCTAATAATTTCATACACGATTTCTTTTGTTCTATTGATGGACATAAAAAAACAAAAATTTTAGACAGCTCCTTCAAGAGTCGAACAAATGAAGTTCATGTTTTCAACAAATTATTTTGCGTAATTTTTACACAATAACTACATTCGATTCATATTTGTATGAAAATAACGACCTCCAAAGCAGAGTGGCTCTCACGTCGGTTTCAAGTAGTCGCCATCTTCGAGGTCCCGGGTTCGAGCCCCGGTCGGGTTAATGTAGAAAAAAGGCTTTTCTAAATTGTCTCGGGTCTGGGTGTTGTGGTACCTTCGTTGTCTTGGCTAGTAATACGGTGCTCTAGCTACTCACCTTGGAATTTGAGCAATGTGTGTGATGTTGTTTAATATTTATTATTATTTAAAAAAAGAACAAATATCTATTCATTTAATGTAATAGAAAAGTATATATTGATAATTTTAGTTTAGAATGTGACTTTATTATGACCCAATTGTAATTTATATTTATGTCTCTCACTCTCACCTGTAATTGTTGATCAGTAATGTCGTTCTGTTCGTCTTCACCCCCACTCTCCTCGCTGCTACTCTCGTACGCGCCCAGTCCTGCACATACAAACTTAAAATAACACTATGTAGCATAAAAAATACTTAATTTCACTAACAATAAGAAATGTGGCCCAACATGACTATTTATTTGGAAAAGGTACACCAACAGTATGTATATGATACATGAAAATTTTTTATATATAAAATAGACATATTTACTTATTACATTTCCAAAATTACATATTAAAAGATCACATCATGTCTGTTGAGGCACATGGTGTTAACCTGCTCTTCTTTTGATTTCCTTTTAATGACAATAAGTTCTAATATCTACTTGATACGGAGCCATTAACGTGCTAAAAAGAGTAATCTATGAAACAAATTATCATCATATTGAATTTTGTTCGGTTGGGTCTCAATAAGTACACTATTTTCTGTGACATTTAATAAATTTCATTTTTCCATTTAAATATATAAAAATGAGTGAATGATGCACCATTCTGGAATTGCAGTGACAATTTTTATGAAAATTATATATTTCTGTACATATAGAAATATTTATATATACGTGGCCTAATTAACAATAATATTTATACAAAATTCAGGACAAATTCTTACCAATTAATTCCCAATAATCTCAATGCACAAATCGTACAGTATTGCCAATGTCAATACTTATAAAAAAATATTTAGCACCATCTCTGAAACGAAAGGGTATTTGATTGTCGCATAAATGGTGGTCATAAAATCTTAACAAGATGCCTTTTATGAGAATATAGAAAAAAATACTTGTATGTAAAACATTACTAAGAAACAACCACCATTCATGTTATATTGAACCATCCCGTATACTATTGTTTCATAAATAAATTGCTGCAAATAAACTGAATGATATAATTAAAAGTTAGTTTTATATTGAAGTTTTATTATTGAGTGTATGTTGTAATAATATATACGAGATGTTTCCGCAAGTCAGGCCTTAGGAAGATAACTTACCGAGCCCACTGGCGATAGCGGCGAGTGCCTTCGACTTGCTCGCCTTCATGGCGTTGAGGCGCGACGCTTTTACCATATAAATGAAACCAACATTAATCACACACACCACATATATTCAGTTTTCAACAGGCAAGATCTGAAAAAGACTTTATTAGGAATAAATAAGACACATCTTTTATCACAGCACATTTCTTCGAGTCACTAAGTGGTCTCAGAGACAATATCACAGTGAGAATTATCACAGTTTTCAGTCAATACGCGAATGTTTCACATCGTATATAGTAAGGTCTTGGAGGGCGTCGGGCCGTTTTGGATAAGCCTATATGAGTGGAAATACCTTGGGCGGCGTTATATCGGGCCAATTCTTCCTGGCTCACCATTTGGATCTCCTGGTCGGTCACCTCTAGGAGGATCTCTGTTAGCGAGCGACGGACTGCTAACATCTGTACACAAATTATCATGTGATTACTAGTTTTTCTTTGTGGTGTAAACATATTGGTTTAATGTACTCAGTGCCGAAATTTCTTCGGCGCCCTCTAACTGCAATTCAATTACAATCAGCTACTACTACATACTTCAAATCAGTTAATTGTCTTTTTTTCGCCGACCCGGCCTACTTACTTGTAATTTTCCCTAAATTTAGGTAGATTGTTAAGTTGGCAGCATTAGAATGGAACGTAGTGTTCAATCGGTTTAATTTCTCGGGAATCCCCGACTTTCCGACCATACAGAAAAAATCGGGTATTCCCTAGATCTATCTCTTTTAATTTTTGACGAAGAAGAACACAATCAACAATTATCTTCTTGCTTGACATAAGTGGACGCTCTTAAAACAATTATTCGATTATTTTAAAACAAACAAACAATCAAACGTTTAACGCTACGTTACGATGCTCTTGTTCCAACTATATAGTGACATTAGTTTTATTTAAAAAGTAGACATATAAATAGCGTATAAGTTATTTATTAATTTTTGACGGAACACATCATTAGGTAAGTACAGATTCATTTTTACCCTAACAGGGTGTCACATAATTGTTATCTATAACTTTGTGTAATTGTTGTAACTTTGTGACAATGAGTTTGCAGTGGGCCACTACTTATTATATAATCAATTATTTTGCTATTTCAAATATGTGGACAAGTAGCTGGATCCGCTATATTCGGGACAACAATATCAACATCATCTAGTATATGTATTTGTTGTACATCAATAACAGATTTATCCTGAGCAGCATCTGTAATCATAGCACAACTTGCTCCCTTACTTCGAGATTTTTCATCCACAATCTCTTGAGTAGCTATTCCATCTGACTTGCCAGACAGAGGCTCCACTGCCGATGCATTTGTTAGTATTGCAGCATTTTAGCTTCAGCTTAACGTTTAAACATGCTCAAACGAAAATTTTCTTAAATGACCGAGCGATAATGCCCGCTAATGTACGTCATATTAACTAATAAAATACATATCTTCATATTGGTAATCGGTATGTTGTTCTGTTTTACCATAATATAATATTTTTCTTGTTAAGTTTCCTTTCAATTCATGCTAAAAGTGAGGCAACTTGAAAATAAAAACAAATCCTCAAGGTTCTTGTTCTTTTTTCGCCAACCCAATAGGCCTTGTTCAATGAGCAAGGGAACTATAAGAGGGCGTCTGTGGGAAAAGTATTAGAAACTAGATGTCGCTACGATATGTTCTTGTTTTCCCCATGACAACCCTTCCAGTTTTCTTACATGTTTAAAAGTAAATTAGTTTTCAAAACTCAATTAACAACTCATATTCTACGAGGGTCAAACTGAAAGTTCTTAGAACTGGCCACTTATAAACAATATAATAAAAAAATAATTCTAAAATTTGAAAATATAACTCTTTGCCAATATTACTGAGTATATATTTCATTCATTTGTCATTTGTTTTACGATTTGGCGGCAAATTGAAAATTGTCTGTGTCACGTCATCATGAATTTAACACGAGAAAATTTTCGTGCAATGATTTTTTATGACTTTCGATGTCATTTAAGTCAACAAGAAAGTTATGATAGACTACGATTGGCCTTTCACGATGAAGCCCCATCTCGTGCGACTGTTTACAACTGGTTTAATGAGTTTAAACGTGGTCGCACTAATCTCACTGATGATTTACGTGAGGGACGGCCTTCTACGGCGACGACTGAAGATAACATCTGTGTTGTGCGGCGTATGATAGAGACTGACAAAAGAGTGACCTATCAACAGATTCGGACAAGCTTAGGCATCGGTATGAGTCAAGTGCACAAAATCCTCCACGAACATTTAGCGGTCAGGAAGCTTTGCGCCCGGTGGATACCTCATAATTTGACTGAGGCTCAAAAACTCCATCGTGTGGATTGGTGTCGTAAAATGATTGAAAGATTTAACGGAGGTGACTCAAATGCTGTGTTCGACATACTAACAGGTGACGAAAGCTGGATTTACTGTTATGATCCTAAAACCAAAAGACAATCTGCTCAGTGGGTGTTTCCTTTCGAGGAGTTGCCAACTAAAGTGAAGAGAGATCGAAGTGCGGGAAAAAAAATGGTGGCCTCGTTCTTTGGAAGGATAGGTCATTTTGCAACAATTGTGTTAGAGGATCAAAAAACAGTTTCTGCAGAATGGTACACTACCAATTGTTTGCCACTTGTCTTGGAAAAAGTTCGAGAGAAACGACCTCGCAGTAGGATCCTCCTTCACCACGACAACGCCTCGTCGCACACCGCCAAGCGAACGATCGACTATTTGGCGACATCAAACGTTGAATTACTGGGTCACCCGCCGTATAGCCCCGACCTCGCGCCTTGTGATTTTTATTTATTTCCAAAAATTAAAGAAAAACTTAAAGGAAAGCGGTTTATGAATGCTGAAGAAGCGGTGGCTGCGTATCGCGATGCCATTGAAGAGACCCCTAAGGACGAGTGGGCAAAGTGCTTTTTCCAGTGGTTCCATCGCATGCAGCGGTGTATTGACGTGAATGGACAATATTTTGAAAAGATATAATAAAACTAATAACTGGCTAATGTAATCAGTTTTTGATTTTCTAAGAACTTTCAGTTTGACCCTCGTATTTGTACTTTTTCGTATTTGTATTGATATCTAAGTTTCGAGCTTTTCAAATTTCAGTTTTTTAATATGTTAGTTAAAATGAACGGAAATGACTGTCTTTGTTCCATTCGTTTCCTGCAAAAATCAACTGTTAATTGCGCCGGATGAAAAGCCCTTTTCGTCCGGCGCCCCTGGGCGGTCGCCCAACCGCGCCCTACCCTAACGCCGCTACTGAATGTACTATTAAACTAATCTCACCTAACTTTAATAAAAGTTCTTTAAATATTTAGGCTTTTAAATAAGTATCATTTCTCTTATTTTAAGCTATTCAGTTTATGAGGGTTTACTTTCTTACTATTGATTATATACATAAATTCTCCTTTTAAAAACTTAAAAGGTAGTTGTTGGAAGCATTTAGTATAGACAATTATTTCGTCCAAGAAAAACTTTAATAGTAACAAGTCTTGTTCTTTCATTTGGACACTTAAGATGACCAGTGTTGAAAAAACAGCTTATGACAGGATTCAAACCTTTTTATGTTACTCACCACTTCCTGCATTATCTCCTCTCGACTCCTCTTGAAGGCCTGATGAGTTTCTTCATGCGGAATTTCCCTTTCATTCGATGCTTCTACAGGTGATGAAGCTTTTTCTTCAATATCTTCTGAATCTTCTCCTTCTGAATCAGATTCCTATAAAAATATAATAAATTAATCATTATCAGCCTAACCCTGTTTGCCCCTTCTGGGTCATTTTATAAATGATTATGGAACAAAACAAATTAAAACAAGACAAGACTTTTAATATCAAATTTAAAAAACAGGGAAGATTTTTCCTAACCAGAAAAAGTTGGTCTTTCCTATGGGATATGTCAATCCTGATAAATATTGTAAATATAAAATAAAATATTTTTAAATAACTTTAATAAAAACAATATAATTGTTCTTACAAATTTGCTCTTAGGTGGTGGTATTGGCTGTCCACTGGCTTCTGCTTTTAATCGCGCAAGTTCTTCTTCTTCTAATCGCTTCTTTAGTTTCTCTGCTTCTTCCCTTGCTTTCTTCTCTTGTTCCCGTTCTAGTGCTTTTTGCTTCTCACGTTCCATTTTTTCTAATCCTGTTTATTATGAATTTTAATGTTAATTAAGCTGAGTGACAGTACATATTTAGCAGAATGTAAATTGTTTAAAGCATCATCAGAAATAGCTATGAAATTTGATATCTATTTACTTTCTCTACTTAATGGCACATTTTTTCCTTTTGTCATTCTAGAACGGATGTTTGCTACTATCTCTTTTATATTATGTGTTTAAAATATTGTTCTAGATGTATTTTAAACAGCATATAATTATGTAACTGAATAAAGTTTACCCTCTCTGATCCAAGCTGGTAATTGTCGTCTTTTAGCCGCATCGATCGTTGGTGTGGGCATCTGCGTAGGCATTACTATTGGCTCCATTACTGGAGGCATCACCGGCGCTATTTTGTTATCTCTGTGGAGTAATTATCAGAAGAATATCAGATATAGGAGAAAATCAGTAGAGTATCATTGATTGTTTATGTAAATGTAATCAATCAATGTCTACTTGAATTAGTTAGTATTCATAGTTTATGTATGTGAGTTCTAAACTAGGGTTATTATAAAGGTGAGCTTGGTTTCCAAGCACTGTAGTATACAAAACTGCCACATCAATGTTTGGTAAGAAGCAAAGTCACCATGTGGTTTGCAACTCTGTGGATCACACTTTACCTGGGCATCCTTGCTGTTCTTGTTGGCTTAGTATCCCGATTTCTGCTTTTTGATCTTCTGTCTCTGCTATGACTGCTACCTCTACTGCTGGTATCATCTGAAGGTTGAGGGGCTGTCCAGTAACCGTGTTGGAAAGTTGGTGTGGGCACACCAGCCGTGGTGTAGCTAAAATTGTTTTTTATTATTTTTATTATTAATACAAATTAAAATATTAACATATAGTCGACAACACTTCAGGTTATACAAAACTGTCAAACTACTCAAAGGGTTTAGCCGGATACGTATGACGAGTCGGCCCCCAAATGGGAATCGATATTGAAACTTATGTTTTAATATAGACTTGATGTTCAAACATGATTTATGTACTTTTCGCGACCGACTTCCGCTTTGACCTTGAGATAGAGAGCAAAATATCCGTATGCTTGACTATTACTGAATGTGATATATCTCTGAAGCTAATTAAGATAAAGAAGTGAAACTAACGCGAGGTGTTAGGTTACATTACAGAGTATATCACATATATTTTTTTATAATTTTTAGAATAAAAAATTACATTAAAAAAATAAAAATAAAAAAAAACATGTTTTTTTTTCTGAGTTCTCTGTGACTTACAATCACGAAATTAATATATGTTATGCTCCTTTGTGTGCTCTATCACCCATAAAAATAGCGTGAAAAAAAAGTTGGTGCAACACAACGAAAAAAAATTATATGTGATTCGCGCCTTGTAGTGTAAGTGTATAAACAAACAAGTTCGAACTTGTTATCGAGCTGTTTACTGCATCGTTTGTTTAGCTAAAGTAGCAGTCATTTGTATTACACAAGAAGGCAGTTTGGGAATTCAATTCTGTCATAGGTATTTTGTATCAGCATTTTTAAATTATTAACTATCGAACCAAATCATTATTAAGTAATAATGTCGAGAAAGTGTAAAAATTGTAACAAGTACCTGTGTAAGGTTCCTGGTTATAAATAAATTATGAAGAATGAAGAAGAAGCTAAAGTGTTAAGTGACTGTTTGAATAAAATCGTAATAGTTAATGATATTTTTTGTAAGAAGTGTTGACTTATCCCATATATTAACAAAAAAGCTTCTACTTCTAAATGTGCAGCATTTAACTTGGCCGAAATAATGGACGATCAAAATAATCTCTCAGTACAATATGTGAAATCAGCACCTAATATCATCAAAGCAGAAGTAAAATCAAGACACATAAATAGAAAAGTCTATCGAATTTACATTCACTATATTTCCGAAGGTAATGACTACAATAGTATTCTTCGTTATTGCTGTGATTGCCCCAATGGCAAACGTACAGTGGGATGCTGTTCTCATGTAGCAGCTATTATTTATTATCTATCATATGGATGATATTTGTCCAAAATCGAACGTCCTGCTGAGGTCCTAACTAAGTTATTTGCGACTCAAAGTGTTCCGATTGTAATTAATTACAACAGTGACGATGATTAATATTTTATTTCTTGTATTTTGATAGACACGAAAAAGTAATAATAATAAGTATTGAACACTGGCTGTTTTTTTTTTCATTTCTTTTTTAACTATATCCCATCTCTTAAGACTAGTTACTTATGTTTTAAAACAAGCTGATGTGAAATTTCGGAAAAAAAAACAATGATGTAATGTGAAAACCTTATAATACAGGGGTATAACATAAGACAGAAATCACATATAATTTTTTTTCGTTGTGTTGCACCAATTTTTTTTTCACGCAATTTTTATGGGTAATAGAGCACACAAAGGAGCATAACATATATTAATTTCGTGATTGTAAGTCACAGAGAACTCAGAAAAAAAAACATGATTTTTTTATTTTTTATTTTTTTAATGTAAAATTTTATTCTAAAAATTATAAAAAAATATATGTGATATACTCTGTAATGTAACCTAACACCTCGCGTTAGTTTCACTTCTTTATCTTAATTAGCTTTAGAGATATATCACATTCAGTAATAGTCAAGCATACGGATATTTTGCTCTCTATCTCAAGGTCAAAGCGGAAGTCGGTCGCGAAAAGTACATAAATCGTGTTTGAACATCAAGTCGATATTAAAACATAAGTTTCAATATCGATTCCCATTTGGGGGCCGACTCGTCATACGTATCCGGCTAAACCCTTTATTTAGGTGTTGATGGTGGAGCTCAAAACCAACTATGGAAATTTGACATATTGTGGTAATCTGATGTGCTAATCATGATTTTGTAATAAGAAAATATATTACAAATGGGAATTGAATTCTTTATAAATCACTTTCCTTTTTGTATACTATGTCTTTATTGGGATCGTCTCAATATGTAAATAATTGTATGAATGGTGATACAAACAATTCTTATTATTTAATTTTTTAAATATTGACATCTGTGTAATTTGCTGATTCTAAATGTCTAAATATTATTTAAACCAAATAGCATTTTACCAGTTGATATGCAAATAAATAACTGGTCCATTTAAAGTCAAAACAACTTAATTTAAAAATAAGTTTCTTATAGGAAATTTACCCTGGCATGGCAGCATTACTGTCCCCAGAATATCCATCCATCATCTGCCTTAAGGCCATTGTTTGATCAGCCGCTAGCTTGTTGTCAGCAGAACCACTCCCTGACCATCCCCAACCTAGAATCCAAAATTGACATATTTTTCTTAAAGATCATACATTTGAATTTGAAATGAGTTACTTAAGCTGAATACAGCATAATAATAATAGATCTGTTAATATACCTAGCAAAATTACAGAGGTTATGTTAGTGAGAAATATTATTACTAACCCCATTGGTTCCAATTATTACCCCAGGAATTTGTGGATGTGTTCCATTCAGGTGCCGGTGGAACAGCTGGTTCTGCACTATCAGGATTTTCAACTTCCATCGGTGCTTCACCTTCTTCAGCATCAGGTTTGAGGGACGGTGGTGGCGGCGCCTCCACAATCGCTGCCGCTTCTTTCATAGCGATCCATTGTTGAGCTAAAGCAGCCCAGTCTACTTGACTCGAGTCTACATTTTGATACGCATTAGGATTCAAGGCCCACTGCGTGGGATATGACGGATTTGCCGCATCTTTGCTGGAGTACATTTTTGTTGAAATATTAAAACAACACTTAGATATCTACTAGTATTATTAGGACATGGTCGAGAATCTTTAGAAATACGAGCTATCCGTAATATTACACTTGCAATATAGCACTTGCATAAATTTTATTGAAAAATGAAACCAGTTCACTTTATTACTTTGATTAAAAGAGTAAAGTTTGATTAGTTACTATCTCTATGATATCCATAGAACAAATTACATAGACAAATCACAGAAGACCAAGAATTTTTATTCACTGCCAAAGAGTTTTTTTATTGTTCACTATAAGGTTCACTTATGGACATAATAACAGGACTTATAACTCTGAAAAATTTTCATCACGGAAGCTTGAACGTAATAGCTTTAATACTATCAATTAAAGTGTTTTTTCATTGTTTCTGCTACAAAAGCTAATCCTAACAGAAAGAGAGAGAGAGACGGTCACAACGGAGGCCGAATATCTCGTTCTTTCATGTTGCCATTATAAAACTAAAATATCCATAATGGAAACATTTCTATTTTAATGTTACTAATTTCATTGTTTCTGCTACAAAAGTTAATCCGAACAGAAAGAGAGAGAGACAGTCACAACGGAGACCGAATGTCTCCTTCTTTCATGTTGCCAAAAAATATCGTTCATTAAAAGTTTAAACTAAAATATCCTTAGTGGAAACATTTCTATTTTAATGGCAACTATTCATTTTAAATATTCATAATCACATTAATTTCGTTAATATTAAATTATTATAAAAAGGTAGTACTGGAAGTACTAGGTATTATCAAAGCTATTTGTTCACTTATTTTCTACTGGTATACCTTTTAAGTAGCTTGGCGGTTACCTAGTGGAGAATTTTACAAATATCATTTGGTATTTTAAATTCAGTAGTTTCTTATACATTTCAACAGTTAAAATTGTAAAATTTCATACAATTTTGCGCTACCGATATTGACAGATAGTGCAATCTCTGAGTTAACAAATACTTGAGATTCTCCATACATATTAAACGGGCGCGCGATACGTGTGATAACCTATAGGTATCTAAGATAAGTAATAAAAATAGAAATATATTTATAGTAAAAAATGTTTAACAAGATTATTGTGTATGATAAAAGCCGCAGTAGTTAAAAACGGAACCATATGAAAAGTCTTAGTCAACACGCAGTATCTGCTGGTGCGGCTGACGTAGCTTGCCTCACGACATCTCGCCATCTCTCTCTGTCAATCGACATCTTTGAGCACTCGTGTAAACGTGTTCCTACCATGGACTTAATTTGGTCGGTCCATCGCATCGGTGATCGCCCGTACATTCTGATCCCTTCTACCTTTCCTTGGAATGGAATCATTGCTATGCCTTAAGATGTGGTCGAATAATTTTAGGATACAAGTTTTTTGTCTTCAACATCACATTTTTAGGGTATTTTTTTCAGAATTTTTCACGACGTCCACGTCTCTGCAGCGTACAAAAAGATAAGAAATAGGAGGCTTAAGTGATGTTGTAGTTCTTCCAAATATTCCTTGTAACATACCTGCACTGGGATAGAAAAGCAGCTGTCTGTCGGGTATTTTAGAGATAGCGATATCTAATTCAGAATAGAATCCCTCTCCATCATCTTCCTATTAGCATTTTCTGTAGTTATTTATACCCTAAGGTCGTTGAGCCCTCTCCCAGCCAGTTGGGTTGGCAACTGGGATCAACTATAATATGACGTCGTTCTCCCCCTAACTCACCTATGAAGAGTAGTATAGAGTCTAGCCTTTTATATATACTAGTGAGCCGAACGAGATATCAAGTAAAGATGCTATTTGTCCCTTTCTAATAGGGCGACAAAACCATTTTTATTAAATGAGATTTTTCATATCATGGGATCAGTTTTAAACTACTGCGGCTGTTATAGTAAACAATAATCTTGTTAAACTTTTTTATAGGTTTTTCGTGCAATTTGATATCGAGGTGCGATATCGATGTTTGGAGAATTGCATGTGTTTGTTTATTCATGAGGTTGCACAATCTGTGAATATCGGTAACAAATCTCCTCTACTTCGGACTGCATGTAAATGGAACCATTGATCGACACTTTAAGAGACTTGGTGACTTTACGGTAACATAAAAAATATGTATTTATGTAAAACAATAATGGTAATGTTTATTGCCAAAAACAGTTACTGAAGTTTAAATCAAAAGAAATTCTATAATTTCTTCAAAAATTATAAAAATGTCCAGTGACTTCAATATTTAACACCCAGTCATCGACATTCACCAATACTTCTACTAGTAGGAATTAGCTTAACCACTCTCAGCTTGTCCGCATTCATATAAATAATAAAACCTCTATTCTTACTTTCAATAGTTAAATAAGTCTTTAAAAAATATCCTTATAAGCTTCTAACTAAATCAGCCTCTTGCCAACATTATGTTTAGCTTCACAGTTAAACAAAACTGGATTACTAAAGATTTGACTTGCCTCAATATCTAAATTATTCTGTACTAAACACGAGTGCAGAATTTGAATCTTGTATTGGTAGAGTTTTGGCAGTGGTTGGTGATGAACTGAATTGTTCATCTCCTTCACACAAATTGGTTATATAATCCAAACCATCTTACGTTAAAGTATTTTTTGGTTGATTTGCATTTGGCGGTAAATCATCAGGGAATTCCCCACAAGTTTTTGACTTATTTTTTCCCGAATTTTGTAGAGAGCCATGTCCTCATTATGTTCTCGTAATATAATTTATTGAAAACAATAAAGTTTTCTCTTGAAAATGTTTTGACTATTTCTTCTTCTTTTTGTGCTGGATTAGTCTTATTGGTTGTCATTTGTGTGCGTTGTTTAATTTTAGTTAAATCAATATAATCAGGACCGAATGGATGCAAGCCCTCAGCTCCAAAGCCATTTTCAATACAATCTTGGGAAATTTTAGAAACTGTTTTTACAAAACTGGAGCAAAATTTTCTTTTCTTAAAGTTTTGCCAAGGTTGTCTAATTTCCAGTTATGAGTAGCTTTTTTCCATGCCACTTTAAGTGGCCTGAGTACTAAAAAATCCATGGGCTGGAGGATGTGTGTTGTATTCGGGTATAATGCAATAAGTTCGATTCCATTCTCTGAGCAGATTGTAGACAAATGCAAAGTTAGATGAGATCGATGCCCATCCAGAAAAAAAGAGTACTGGATTTTCAATTTCCTTTTATTCCAGCTAGGGGCAATAAATATTGGTCATATATTCGAAAAATGTACTGCTACACATCCAATCGCTGTCCAATTTTCCAATACCCCAAACATCAGGTACACTGGATACAATATTGGACAGAATCCTTTCAAATTAAAATTATCAAAGGGGACGCAAGTTCTCCGGCCACATTTGCTGTGAATAATACAGTTAAATTATATTTTCATCACCGCAAGAGCTGTAAAGAAGCTTTTCGCCTTTTTTTACTAATACACGAACTTGCTTTGGCGATAAAAAAGACGCTTTCATCAGTGTTACAGACCCTCCTTGGATCTTTCAAAATGTCCTTTAAACCCTTTTCTTCTAAGTATTCTGCTATTTCTTGGAACCATTTCCGTATTTCTTCTTCGGTCGGTTGGTTAGGTTTTCAGGTATCTTTTCTACTAACTCAGGATGTCGTTTCATAAAAGATTGGAACCACATCTTTCCTGGTCGGTTTTTTGTGAAAGGGTTCTCTCTTTTCTGCTCTGTAATAATTTTTTGCACAGTATCTAGTAGGCTATCTCTTGGAATCGGAAAATGTTTCTTACACAATGCTAAAATGCACTGTTGAACATAACTGAAGATATTCGCCATGCTATGGATAATACGAAACTTACAGCCTTGGTTCTACTGAATTTTAGCAGTGCCTTCAATTGTGTTGACTTTGACATTTTGCTTAGTACTCTCCGATCGCTTAACATTTCCGCCTCTGCTATTGATTGGTTCCGATCATATCTCTTTGAACGCTCTCAGTGCGTAGTTTTCAATTCTTCTTCTTCTGACTGGCTAAATTTGTCAGCCGGTGTACCACAAGGTGGTGTTCTCTCACCTTTACTTTTCTCTATTTTTATTAATAATATCTCTACCGTTATTTCCTCTCCTTTTCATCTTTACGCAGATGACCTTCAAATCTATAGGCACTTCTCTATCGACGATGCTCTGGATACCATTGATTCTTTAAATAGAGATCTTGCTTCTATTCAGAAATGGGCGGTTTCATTTGGTCTTATGGTCAATCCAAATCCAAAATGCCAGGCTATGATTGTCGGCAGTAGCAGACTCCGCAGTAAACTTAACTGGACTTGTATACCTCCAGTCGTATATAACAGTATACCGATTCCATTCACAGACAAAGTAAAAAAACATGGATTGACTATGGATAGTTCTCTTTCATGGTCCCCGCAAATGGCTGACGTTAGCAAACGGATGCACTATTCTTTCCGCTCTCTCAAACGACTTCAATACTTTCTTCCCCTTAAAACCAAAATTATGCTAGCGCAATCACTCCTGCTTCCTATTCTTGACTACGCTGATATTTGCTACTTGGATGTGAATGAAGATCAACTAAATAAGCTAGAGCGCCTTCAAAACCTCGCAATTCGGTTCATTTTTGGACTGCGTAAATACGATCATGTCTCAGCTTTTCGAGCACAACTTAACTGGCTTCCTATCCGTCTTCGCCGTGATATGCACATCCTTTCATTCCTTTTCAAAATTCTTAAAGATCCTAATTCACCCGCATACCTGAATTCCCGTTTCCAGAAGCTTCCTCCTCCATCCCGTCCCCGGCGGTACTGTGTTACCAAAACTTTGGAGCTGCCTAAAAGTAACACCAATTTTCTCTTCAACTCCTTTTCTGTACGGGCTGTTAGACTATGGAACAAACTCCCATTAGATATTCGAGACTGCCCCTCTATCATATCTTTCAAAACTAAACTCAAGGAGCACTTTCTAGCACAATGTTAGTATTCATAGTTTTTTGTAATCATTATTATTTTTATTTATATATGTATATTATATGTATTGTATAATATTGTTTATTTATGTATTCTTATTTTTTTTTATTGTTTTTTTATTTTTTTTATATCATGCCTATATGTATTAATGTTAATATTCATTCACATCAAATTTAACAATTATGCACTTGTCAGTCTCCCGTTACTGCTTGATCTCCCACACCGCCTGGTTGGCTGGAAGAGATCTCTTATAGAGATAAGCCCACCCTTGCTTGTGATTTACATACAATTGTAATGTTGACTTTGTTTTTTGTGCAATAAAGAGTATATAATAATAATAATAATAATAAAATCTAGCATAATAGGATATCCTCCTCCATTTTTGTTAGGACTGACAACGCTCAATTACTCCTCCGCTATGTTAAGACAAAATTGACGGACATTGTGACGTCTGTCAAATAGACAGTAAAAAAGATGATCTATATCATTGTGGTGTTGCCAACTTTTAAAAAGAACTAACAGACTTAATTTATTTTTAAACTATTTTGAACTGTCGGATGCTGGTGCTTGTCATCACCATCACCATAATTATTACATGACAAAAAGACTTTATGGTAGGGTCAACATTGGCGCAAATCAAGACACACAATTTAAACGCTGGATCCACCGAAAAATATTTCTAGTGTCTTATATTTCTTAAGAACTTCATGTCCAATTATGATATACAAGCGCATAAATTTTCCGTTATTAACAGATTAACTTCAAATTTATGTCCTTGTAAATCTATGTTGACAGAATATGACGCGTCTATTCTTGTTTTATGATTCGTAGCTTCCATGCTAATGTGCTGGATGCAACGTTTAGTTGTTATTTTGTATTGTTCTACTAGACGCTTATCAATATCGCTTGTGCTCCCGGTGTCAATTAATGCTTTAGTGGTAAATAATCAATTTATCATGATCGATACTATAGCTTTGCTTAGTTCCGTTGTAGCAGCGATAATACAGGAAAGTGATTACGGACATCCTGCTTTCTCAGCTTCATGAGTATCATTTTGGGCGGCGAACTTTAGCAAAATGTCCTCTTATTCCGCATTTGAGACATGTTGAGCAGGAAGCAGGGCAGTTGCGTCATGCGTGTCTCTTATTTCCACAAAAATAACAAAGTTAGAGCTTTGAAGAGAAATAACAAAGTAAGAACTTAGTTATTTTGTAAGAATTAGAGTTCTTGATTAAAGTTTGATGTTGCGTTGATTGAAAAACTAGTACTAGATTGCTGGTAATCATTATTATGTAGGTATACGTTCCATCTCTAGAGCACGTGCTTGTTTAAAAGCATCGTCCAAAGTCAGTGTGCTATTTTCTAAAAGTCTTTGGCGGTCTGAGGGCGATGAGAGACCGGATATGAATGTATCTCTAATAAATTAATTTTTATTTTGCTCAGTAGATACTTGTTTGAAGTTGCAATCTTTCGAAAGTAGTTTCAGGGCTTGTAAATATTTATCTACGGACTCACCACTTTGTTGAGAACGTTTGGCTAATTTGTATCGGGAGTAAACCTCGTTAGATGGCTTCAAAAATAATGTGTTGAGCTGATTGATGTTGAAGCTTGTTGCAGTTGAACCTTGTAGATATGCAAATAATTTTTATTTTTTTTCTTTGGTAGAGATGAATGTCAAAAAGATTTCAAATATTTTTTTTCAATGTGTCCACTGAGGGGATTGATCTTCACTAGAAGACGGATCTCCGTCAAATCTTTCTGGTCGTAGATATTTATCCATTTCATTTTTGTTGAATAAATTGAAGTAGAATAAACATTTATAGATTATTAAATGAACTGAAAAATTAATAGGCTTTACTCAACAAAATTTTACATAACAATCGATGATAGAATAGTCATAGTTGGTTATTGGTCAAAGCTACTTTTTTGATATAAACCAAAGAGTTTATATCACCACAGGATGGGTGTTCAAAAAATTATTATCACGATCTAATTCGTGTTTCGGAAGGCATCAAGACTGCATCTACAGTCGTCAATACCCTCCAGTCCGCAATGGGCCCGCGTGGAGAGTCATGGCCCATGCTCCTTAACCATCCACAAGGGAGGCCTGAGCCCCTGCAGTGGGGATGTAAAAGATGGTGGTAATTTTAGATACTTACAGGCTTTTCGTGCAATTTGATATCGTCCGAATCGCATGCAGAATCTGAAGTGTTTGTTTTCTGATGAGATTACACAATCTGTCAATAACGGTCACAAATCTTCTCGACATCGAATTGCAGGTATGAACTTATGGTCTGCGATATCGCTTCAATTGTATAAGGGCTCGACCGGTTCAATCTACTTTCGATATCTGTACAGAAAATTGAGGAGCGATATCTGTTGCACAATCTAAATCATCATCATAGTACATTCAATTTGTCAAAAAATATGGCAATATTCTATATAAACAAGTGAATAGCTCGATGGTGTAGTGGTTAGCATGTTTGATCTGCGATTGAAGCGGTTATGTGACGATCATAAAGGTCAGTAATAGGACGGGTGGTCAAATTTTTTTCGGAACTACTTAGAACGACCACGTTGTCACCGTATGAATTACTGGGTAGACTGATTTTACCCATTTAGAATACCTGTGAATTTAACTATTATTTCATTGAATTATGTGTAAGGCATACTGTTAATAATTTTATACTAGCGGAGTCGCTACTTCATAATTTTGTAGAATATCTATAAAACCGTGATTTCATGTAACATTATAACTTAATGTATTGTCGTTATTTATTGATTACGCAAAAAAGTGTTTAATTCTTTTCAATACTTAATCTACCTGACGTATATACAAAAAAAATTGTCATCATCCCTATAAATTTCAACGCTCGACCAAACGTTTAAATCGTTCCAAACGAGTTTTAGTTCTATTCTGCCTATTATTAGAGGCTGATTAGAACTAACATCACTATCAGATCGAACTAGTTCACTGAACGAAATATACTACTGTGTGGTAAATGTCGTTATTTAAGATGATCGAGCAGGCACAAGACTGGCGGTGACGTCACAGGCGAATCGGAGGCCAAAGACGTTCCGTAAACAAGTAGTTATAAATAATCTATAACTAAGTCATTTATTAATGGATTTTAATTTTGTTTTGTTCAGATTTATTTTAGTTTTGACCTATATTTTTATTATATTGTGTTAAATAATATCAACTTCATGAAACTTCTTCATTGTTTATGCAGCATTTTAGGTACTGCATAAAACATTGAAATTTACAAATATTTAAAGAGGATCAACATCGGTGCCAATTCTTTTATACCACTAGAGAGTAGTTTAGAAAAACTAAATTATAAATATTTAATTTTAATGTTATCTACCTAGTTATTTATGTACCTACATAGTTTTATATTAATATACTGAATACTTACCTATACTAAGTTTACTTCCGTTATCTAAGTTATTTACGGAATTGAAAATTTAATTTGATAGGATTGAAACTAAATTTAGTTTAGTTTGTGCAACAAAATGGCTACCATGTTTAAAAATTACATTTATTTTAGTTACAATATAATTAAACATTTTGTTACCTTTCATGAAATTAGGTAGTATGATGCATAAACATGTACTACTTTATCGAAGCTTGCAAATTTACTTAATGGCCCCAGAAATGTTCTAATCAAGTCTTGAAGCTTGAAACCTAGATCTATAATAAACTTTATACTGAACTGGAATGATTAATATACAAGTAAAACTTTCTCTCGAGTGAACCTTCGTGGTTATAATATTTAAGCACGAATGCTTTTAACATTAACGAGGTCTTCATTAGTTAAATGAACTAGTTAAATATTGTGACTTCACAATACATTTGCGCCACTTACAACAGCGCGTCGCAATACCCTTTAAATCATGATTAATGCGGAAGAGGATCATTGAAAAGAAAATACATAAAACGATCTTAATACTTTAATTTATATTCGTCACATACATACACTTTCATACATTCGTCACCCAAGCATCGGACAGCACTTACACAATCGTACATAAACGACACTTACATAAAATTAGTTTAGACACAGAACTTTTTAGTCACGCCCCAACATAGGCGGCGACACGCATGTCACACACTTTCCAACTGGTATATATCACTTATGCAATGCAAGTCTTTTTTGTATTAATTCTAACTTTAACTTAATGCTAGTAATGGCTCCTCTGGGTCGTGCTTTAAACTGTGGGACTTCGGATATTTCTTTTTCCATTGCTCCTTTTTATTTAACATTTTCTGTTTCGTTGCCTCTAACTTAGCTTTAGCCTTCGATATTTTAGGCGGAGAAGTCGTTTTATCGAGTCGCTCTAATGTTTCAATGATGTTCTTGGGCTTTGATACGACTCTCCTAGTTTCTTCGCTGATCTCATCCATTGTAGCGTTTTTATTAGCATAGACAACAACGAAGTGGGAATAAGCGGAGTTAGAAGGTGCATTAATATCGGCAAAATCTCTGAAGTTAGCAAATTGATCTTGGTTGTAATTAGGTCTAGGGTTCGCTATGTAACCGACTCCGATTGATGGTCTACCATGTCCGTTGTTATAGTAAGAATTGAAGCCATCGCTGTAATCATCTTCATCGTTTTGAGCTAAAAAGGTGCCTCCTTTGATAATGCCGAAATTTCCGGAGCCAAGGACACTGGAACTAGCGTCGACGAGAGGAGCTGCAGTTGGAGTGCTCTGTTTCCCGAATCCTTCAAAGTTTCTGTAGTTGCCAAAGAGGGGATAGTTCAGTAAAGATCTGTATGAGTTTGGTCTTTGACTATAGGCACCCTCGTTGCCAAAGCCAAACCTAAAGTTATTTTGCTGTCGATCGTCTTGATTATCGAATAGGTTGGCGAAGGAGGGGAAGAATGTTTGGGAACCGCCCACCAATTCTATCGAGTGGTCCGTCTGGTCTGCTGCTGCTGCGTTGTCATCATCTTGCTCTTCTTGTCTGAGTGCTGCAGGGGGTAAAACTGCTTCTGATATGATTTCCGATGATTCCGCATTGAGATCTCTTGTGTCATCTGTAAAGATAGAAAATTATGCTATTTAGTTTGATAAAGTATTAATAATACAAAAAAATATTTTTTTAATAAACATTAATAATTCGACAGTATTCATTCATATTATAAAAAAAGATATTGGACAAATATGGTAAATATAAGTAAGTACAGCATTTATGGTTTAACTACTAATTGAACTTTACGTGTAAACGATGTATGCTAGTATATACTTAATGTTACTTGGAAAGGTGTGACCTTAAATTGGATACGTAACATAACATGAATTAGAACACAAAGCTTTATGACAGAAGGTAGCTACAACATGTAAGTAATATATGCAAATTAAGTCATATGTTAAAGGCGTATAATTTCTGACATGAGGACACTTTAACAATATCATGACGTAATAGCACGTCCTTAGAAAGGCATTCGACACTACCGCATGGTGCATGCAAGCTTCCTCGTTACAGACGTCACTTGTCGTTACATTGTCCTTCGTTTCCAGTGCCGAGAGATGGCTCTAGTGTTCTAATTTAATATTTCATTTTACTTATCAATTAAAAGATTCTTCCTTCTCGTGCTCTTAAATATCAGAAGTTATATAAATCGGCGAGTATGTATAGACAAAATATTGAAAGTGGTTGAGGCGTAAGATGTTTGTAATGACCGTACATTGTGAGGTTTGAACCCATTTGCCTACTCCGTCAGGGATACGGCGTAAAGATAAAGATAGAAAAGACTCCTTTACATTTATAATGATTAAAAATATTATTATTAATCGTAGTCAAAACATTAACCCATTTAAAATCTTTACTTAAAATTATATATTTTAATTACACACCGAGTGCATTTGTTTAATGTTCTCTTATAACGCTACTATTCAATTGTGCAATGGATATTTCTTTATAAACGCCACGTACATAAATGGTGTAAGTGGCACCTTGCATATGTTGCAGTTAGTATGTATAGCAATGAAATAAGATCATAATTTTAAATATCTACATAGAGTGCGTTAGTTGTCATTAGTTCAATCTCATATTATTTTGAAAACGCCTTAAGAGTTAATTCAGTTAACCCAACTACCTAGCTTGATCGACTTCATCAACATAGCATTAAGTTATAAAAAATATAATATAAGCTATATAATACGCTTACATTAACTTTAAATACAATTGAATACTAATCAAATGTAATTTATGAATAAATATTATTATTATTGAAAAGTATCAATATGTCACTTCACCTTCTTTTAATCTACTTTTATATTCCTATTATATAACACAAAGAGGTTTTATCACTTGGCCAGTTTCCATTATGCTAGTAGATAGCTATGCATTTTCCAACCGAACAGTACTAACGAGCATTGGTACTACTAGTAAAGACGGAATCAGCATTATATTTAAATATATTATTGTGGTTTGTGGTTACCATGAATCCTTCTGTACAGTATTTTTTTTAATAATTTTTCATTATTCTATTAATAATTTTATAAACTTTTGCTCAATTACTCAATGTTTATAAACTTAATTACTATTACAGTGGCAGATGAAGGAGTGAAGCTTTTGAAGTAATTTTTCATTGAGATGACTATAGATGAAATGAAAGAGGGATAGAAAATGCAGATCCTTTGATTATTTGCCATTAGATTAGATTTGCGGACCACGGCATAGTTTTGAAAATTGCACTTTTTGAACTTTCTATTATTGGTAATTATTACGAGAAAATCAGGACCGAGGATCGACAAAACAACACAATAATGGTAACCTTGTAGAACTGTTTTTTTTTTTAATTATGAAAATAACGAAGATAGCCGAAGTAAACTTATTATATTATAGTATACAGGAGTACAATTATTTGTTTGATTACACGAAACAATGTAAAAATTATCTAGGTTTTGTTTTAGTTGCTGACACCCCACCCGCACCCCCCTGGGATTAGCCCACGGGGACGATCCACCGTTTGGGAAAAGGCTGTTATTCACCCAAGTCTTTTCCTTCCCGCAGAGGGCGACTCCTCTTCCCCCCGAGAGGAGACCCAGCGCGGCGGAAGAAACCGGGCCCTCCTTGCAGGATACCGGGTTCTTCCTATCCGTGTGAGGTGAACCGCAGCGGATTTTACCAGGTAGGCCTTTCACACCAACCTGCCCTTTTTAGGGCGGGGTGGAGGGAGAGCCCTGGTTTGAGGCTTAAAGTGCATTTCCCCTGCGTTAACAAAAAAAAAAAAAAGGTTTTGTTTTAGTTTAAAGTGGCACAACCGAATTGGAACCATTGCCAACAGAATGCTAATCTGCGGATACCGTCTGTAAATAGAAACGATTTTTAGATATAAATGTATTTATTACGTGTCATCGTTATTATTATGTGAATTCAAAACGATGTAAATGTAAATTCAGACACATACTAATATAATTTTTAAATTAACTTAATGTGGGTAATCACATTATTAATAATACATATACTCATCTGATCCCTAACCTCTGTGCTACATAATGGAGTAGAATTTACATTTTTCTTTGGGAAACGTAGTGTTTCAAAACTATGGCATAGGTCAAGAGAAAGCTGGGTTATTAGCTTGTATCGTATTATACAATTTTTTAAATAATATCTTCTTATTATACTTATTATAAAATATGTAATATGATGACCTGATTAGGTGTTAATAGATTTATAAGTTTCTAGTGACATTTTCTTATTGTCCAAATAAACATTATAATATAAAAGCTATTAGCAGCAAGACTAATATTATTTTATACTCGTAGCCGTAGACCATATTTCTTATAAAATAAGCATATGTACCTACATATACCTAAATTATATCAAAATTTAATAAAAATAGTATTGTGATGCAGCATTAAATGTAGCGTCAAAAAATATAATATAAATATAATCCTAATTAATTTATTTTCTACTCTTTCAGTGATCAATATACCTAATTTAATTAAAATGGCACACTTAAATAATATTAATTTTATCATAAACTATTTGTTAACTTTTTGATAAAAAATGTAGAGGAGTTGTGTCCAATTTCTCTGTTTAGCTATGTTTGGCAACATCTTATAGATCTTTTAAGGCTTCTGTGTTGATTTCTATCTTTATAGTCAAATTGCAACACTTTATTGTGCGCCTTTACGTCTGTTTCTATCTTGAATACATGTCATGCCATTATATGAAAATCTGATAATTTTTTGGGTACAATTTATATGGAAGAATCAGCTTTTTTGGATAATATAACATCATTAGATAGTTGGATATTTTGACTGTAGTAATGAAGCTCTTTTCATTTTATAACATTTGAAGGATAGGTGATATTGTTAGAGCTTCATGTTTCAGGGATTTTTCTAATTATAAGTCATGTATGTTATATATGTTAAGTCATATACAAGTTTTTGATCAAGTAATCGCAGTTTGGTAGAATAGATTCTGGAATAAAAAGGTTAAACGTTATAGAATATCTTTTTGCTAATCACTATGTGAAGGCTCATGTTCATATGGATATTCTTTGTTAATTTTTATATAAAAAGAGATATATATGAATAACTAATACATATTATTAATCTATGGTTATGATAGTAATTGAGAACAAATTTAACCAGAATAAAATTAAAATTTAGCTAACCGCATTGTGGTTACTTCAAACGGTTGGATTAAATGATAGTGTATAACTTAAGTGCGTGTTACGTCGAGAAGTAAATAGTTAATTTTTATTATATATCATTTGTTGTTAATGTTATGACCAAAGACAATAATTGTTAGAATTATATAAGTTTCAGGTCAACATCGTACATAAGGCCAATTCAGTCTACACTACAAGTTATCTAATCTAGTGTATTTGGGGGGTTGTGGTTGTATGTTAGGTTGTCATAGAAGATGACATATTACCGCAATAGATTTTCAACTTAATATCTAACAAATAGTAAGTTCGAAAAATAAAGTAAGATCTATGAAAAATAACAACAACCACAAACAATCTCATTTCAAACATACGAGACCGTGGTCGTTTCGAATTCTTATAAAGGGTTATTTTTTTTGTATTATGTACTCATAAATAGTTTCTGTAATATCTTATTCAAGTTTTATTAATTTCCAAAGGTCTTGAGATGAGTTTAAAGTCGTGAATCACAATAAGACATTATAATAGTGGATAGACAGAGTCTTATTCATTGTAATATTAATTTCCTGGCATATACTGAAATTGAAATTATAAATGCATCACTCTGATGCAATTATACGAGAATGGAAGATGATCTTTGTTTTTAGATAACATCAATTTACTTAAATCACTTCCACGTCTATAATTAATGTGACATTACTGATATAAATAATACATAGATAGCGATAATGATTATATCGTAGCCAATAATTTTCCGAAGCAATCACTTCCTTTATACAATTGCTATGTTTTCCTGACAGCCTGAGGTGAAACGACAACAGATTTGTTTAAATAATAATCATGCAATTTCCGTCGTATAGTAATCGTTTCAGGGAATAATATTTCGAAGTATAAAGAATACCGTTTCTAAGTATCAAAATGAAAATTTTGATAGACATTAGTATGTTTTGATTCGTATTTTGTTATTTTGTTGGCTAACCAAACTGTTAGATGTTTTTTTTAAGTACAGCCAATTGTTTTATCAAGCGATAATCCGATATTTTTGTAATACATATTATTTACCATTTCGGTCGTCTTTCATTATGCTTCTCATAGGTGAAAGTCTTTTTAATATCGGTCCAGTAGTTCCGGAGCCTAACAAATGTAAAAAAAAAACAAACAATCAAATAGTAAATATAACACTTATGATTATTGTCGTAATTCAAAACGTTTTTGAACCAAGGAAATTTAAAACAATAAATCGAATCAAAGTTTATTGGTTAAATTCTCCTTCGAACCGAATTTAAAGAAAATTCTTTTACAACAACGTAACATCAAAAAAGTTTCGTACAAAAAGGTTTAGATGTAACAAAGGATTGTATACTTTTTAGTGAGCATGCATTCACTTTCCAGCCGTTAGCGAAAGATTTCCT